TTTTGATATATATTTTTACTTCTCTTTTTTGACAACACAAAGAATTAATTCATTTGATTTAATGAATTTTATACAAAAGGTAATTTTTTTATTTAACATCTTTGCCCTTTTAATATATTAATATATTAAATAACAATCGTATTATTAAAAATAGAATTTAATTATTTATAAAATATTATTAATATAAATTATTGTTTGTTACCTTATTCTTAATGAGATACCAAGAAATATCTTCAATATATTTATATACATCCTTAATCGATAGAAAAAAAAGGTTACCAGTAAACTACTGACTAGCTGTTGACTTGTTATTAATATGATTTTCTTTCACTCAACTTCTCCTACCACTTTTTTCAATCATCTATCAAATTTCTTTATAATATTGTAACCATATAAAATAAAACGTGTTTAGTGTTTCAAGTACAATCAAAATTATCAAGTTAGGTCACCTGTTGAGCCTTTCTGGAATCTCATTAAACTCGTTTACTTAATCGAATTTAAAAAAATCTCAGAAAACTTCAAAGTTGGTTTTTAATTGAAATTATTAGATGCTTTTAATAAAAAAATGCCACTTTTTAAAAGCTTTTATCTGAAGTGTTATATATATCTCTCAGTATAAGACAAAAAGTTGAAATAATCAAATGATTTATAGATATAAAGCACGTTTGGCCTAAACATATTGATTGATAAAAACCTTTGACATTTTTGTAGTAAACAGATTTAAAAATTATTTGAAAACATTAGAGTGTAACACGTTTAATAGGTAAAAAGTAATTTTGTCATTGGTCATGTTTTAAGCGTAAATAACATACACAAATATCTATGAAATGTATTGTATATGTAATTAATTTTGACAGTCTTCTATTTTACTTATACTGAATACATTTTAATTTTTGTAAAACATATAAGAATATAGTAAACATTTTAGTTTACTAGTATGATTCTCAAAATTTTAATAAATTGGTGTGAAATTCAAAGCAAAATTATACCATTATAATTTAAGCATATCTTTAAAAAATATGTAAAATTACTTTTATGTAGTTTTTATTAATCATTATTCTATTTCAAGGTCAATATTTTCATGCTTTTTTAAAATTAAATGATGGATAAAAATTAAATTCCTTTTTCTAAAAATTATTTCACAATAGACCCTTCAATATAGTGCATGAGGCTTAGAAATTCTACTGTCCGTGTTAAAATAATCTAGATTTTATATCATATTTTTTTATAAGAATAGATTTTTTTTGGAAGTTCTAATTTTTTTTATATATATGTTTACTTAAAATCAATTAAATATTTAATTTAAATAACAGGTGAGCTTTTATCTAAAATTACCATAAGATATTCTGAGAAGTATTTTATGATTTTTTACACAAAAAATTTAAGTGGAAAGAAAATTAAAGGTTAAAAAATGTCCAAAACAAATCAAAATTAACATTGAATGGGCCCACTTGAGGCAGTAGTTAAATTCATCATCATCTATTAAAGGCAATGCCATGTTGTTGTAGTTAACTTGGGACAGCTAAATATTTTATAGATTTCATCACTTAATTTTGTATAAAAAATATTTTGTTTCTTAATAATACTTGAAAACATTTTANATTTTGTATAAAAAATATTTTGTTTCTTAAGAATACTTGAAAACATTTTACTAGTGCTGTCGATTGATAGGACTAAAATAATAATAATAGATATTAATCTGCCCCAAGTCGGCCTATATGACGGTATGTACAATTAAATCTATTTTATCAATGTGTAAAAAGAACTGTTTTATATAAATGTATTTCTTAGTTAACATATTATAGACAATTCATTCAATTTCATTTATACACTAACGAATAATTATTTTGATAAACATGTTTAATTTTGTCTAAATGTTATTTCTTTACATTTAGTTTTCGACGTATTGAAAAAATATACAAAAACAATTATAATAAATAATAATAAATTAAAACTAAATATAGAATAATCTCGAGTAATTTATTTTTAGGGANTAAAACTAAATATAGAATAATCTCGAGTAATTTATTTTTAGGGACTCTTTAGTGTGAATATTATCAATATTCATTTGAAGTGTATTAATAGTATTACACATTGTTGACGCTTATAATCTGGTTAATCCATCCAATAAATGAGGACACTTTAACATATACACCTGGCACATCTATTCTTCCGCATCCAAATCCCCAGGATACAAGTCCGGCCAGTTCATAAAATCCATCGTCCTGGCACACTAATGGTCCACCGCCATCACCCTACAATCAAAGCAAACATTGATTTACCGATTTAAACTTACTCTAAACTTATTTAAATATATATATTTAACATAAAAAACACCTTACAAAAAAAATAATAATAATAGTAATATCATTACTATAATCTACGATAAATCTTATAATATATTATATATATATATTTAAGTTGATTNAATAATAATAATAGTAATATCTTTACTATAATCTACGATAAATCTTATAATGTATTATATATATATATTTAAGTTGATTAATTAAGACCTCTCGGTACCAACGATTTTTAGGAATCAACTATAGACAATTTCATATTTTATGTACATTACGCAGACCCAAAAGAAAATACTAAATTATACAAAACTAACCATTTTTGTGCCAAAAGTACGACCAAAAATTACGGATACAATGTGATTTTTAAAATTTTTTTTGAATTTAGCATCATGCCGATTGAATATAGATCAGTTTACTTTTTTGAAATTTTGATTTCTTCAAATCCAAGTTCGTTTCAAAAATAAAACCTGTACTTAGGGATTAAAGTAAACAAAATTTCAAAATAAATAGCTGACCAAACTTTTCATCATAATATTGAATTCAATTTCGTTTTCAAAATTCTTATTGCATCAGAAGTTTCGCCGTACTATCGGATTAAAAACGGGCTGTCTTTGACTGAGAAACGGTCGGTTATCCAAACGCCAATAAATTATTTGTATTGTTGTTTACCTGACAGGCATCATTTCCAGATTCACCACCCGCACAAAAACTGCTGGCCGGTAGAATAAAGATCTTTTCGGTAACCGCATTTATTTTACGTATGCATTCGGTATCGCTGACCACTGGTATTTCAGCTGCTCTGATCCGCAATGGTATGGGTCCAGATTCACCCATGTAACCATAACCTGTGACCGTGCACCGCTTTCCGGCCGCATGATTGACACCCCTTGCTGGGAGGCATACCAAGCAAACGCCATCTTTAAGTTCGGCTTGCCCGTGCAACTTCAATAGCGCTATGTCATTATCTAATGTTTGAGAGTTATGGTTATGATGTATATATGTTGTGGCCACTCGAAGAGTTTGAGCGCCTGGACTTCCGTATTTCCTAGTTAGATCGTGATCACCGACTCGTACATAAATAGCATCACCA